GGGGGAAGCCGCAAACCTCAAACTCTGGATGCATGCTGTCAGGGGCGGAGCGCGACAAGGAACTAACACATCAGAACAGGGTTCTAGCTTGGGGGTGCAATGTTAAACTCAGAAATCCCCAATCTGCAGGGTTGCAGCTGGACACTTGGGTTTCAGGGCAGCAAACCAACGTGACGGTGGACGGTGTCTTAACTGGTCGAGCAGTGTCGTTCACTGCTACGCATGTGCCTCAAGCTCATGTGCCCATGGGTGCGCGTTAAGTGCATATTGCAAAGAAGTCTACTTGTTGACGACGAGCCCTTCTGATCTGTCAACCCGCTTGATGTTCCTCCCCCTGCATTAAACAATTAAAACTGCTTTGCTTATTGCCTTCTGAATCCAAACTTCCAGCCCCGCGTGCATCACAGGGTTTGCGCTAGCGACTGGTGGTGCACATGCGTGTTCTAAAGGCAAGGGAATGCATCCCTTCCAAATGGTTCCATTCATGCAGGAAGCGCTCGGTATTCGGGCGCCTGAGCATCTGATCGAGCACCGGTGCCCAGGTGGCTCCTGTCTGCGGTGCATGCACTGGAAAGCTCGTCTATGGATACTTGATGACGACTTTCACTTCGGGAAACACACACATGCATGTGCTCGCCGAAGGATGCGCAAAATGAAAGATGATGCCTACGTGGATGGCGCGTCCGCGCGCGTAAAGGCATAAATGTCTGCCTTGCATCGAAAAATTCCGGCATAGCATGACTTGTATGCAGTCATTGCATACAGCCGTCTGTCAGCGCATGCAGGATACAAAGACAACCAAGAAGTTAAGAGCAGGCTAATAACTCAGGGAATTCAGAGGCTATCCATCTCAATATGACGGCCAGACTGTCTACATCCAGTCCATGTACTCAGGCCTTGCCGGGATGAACGCAGACAGCTGCATATGGCATATCTAGTCTAAAACAACTCGCCATCGAGGTTTGTCTGTCCGGCCGTGTCTGCATGCAGGCATGCAGGCTGCTTCCGAACAGGGAAGAAGCATCGCATAATAGGCATCCACGGAAAACTAGCAAAAGGTAAGCACAAGACCAACACACGGATGACCGTAGAATACATAAGTCTGCCGAATAGGCATGGTCAAACCAGTATTACTGGAGCCTGACTGCGTCCACATGCAACGAAACCTGCAGGCAAGCCAGCACATGCGACGTGTAGATTTCGTGCTTTGGTTGTTTGCCTGACACACAGCAACTCCTGCCCGAAACCATGAAACCCTAAACCCTGAACTTACTACCTAAACCCTTAACCCTAAACCCGGAACCCTAACTACAGACTCCACAACTTTGAGCCTGAAGCTTCCTGACCTGAAACCTTCGGCACACAGATCCACGACTAGCTTTTCTACGTGATCTAATCTTGTTGTCAAGGAGAAGGATGTAAGTTATCATAAGGGACTGGCGCTCTTTTCAAGTTATCGCCCGTATGGTAACTTCACTTAAAATTTCGAAGATGAACCCACAAACCAACACCCAAACCCTACACCCTCCCTGATGAACCCAATCTCGAAGCCCGGTAAATGTTCCGTACTCCGGCACCTGGTGAAGGGGGAAAGGCCTGGCCCGTCGCAGCACATGCGGAGTCGTCCTCCAGGCTCAGGATCTAGGTTTCCAAGAAGGTCCATATTATGGATCTAGGCCCGCGACACCATAATGAGGATGGTCTGCTGGGGCATGTTTCCATAGTTGTAGTGTGTACGGACCGTCCTGGTGTTAGGGCGCAGCAGCTCCGATCCGCGCGGTGTGTAGTTGTTGTTCACTCTTTTGGAGAATACCCACTCGCCCATGAGGTCCCATGACATGGGATTAGGTCAGAGAACGAGCTCAACAAGTCTCCGCCAAAGCTGATTGCAGAATCGAGCGGCTGTACGAGGACTGCTTACAGAATCTTACAGCTGAAACACACCCCAGACTCCCTCAAGCTGACCCGACCTTGAACCCAAAATTCTATTACGGAACCTGCCCAGGTAATATTGGGGCCTTGACAAGTAGAATACCCATTATTACCATTATAGTATACTTATAGTTAGGAGCCCCCAAAATAGTATTGGTAATTATTTAGGCTCCTACATTAAGCCTCAAAGCCAGGGCCAGGGACAAGATGGCACGGTTTTAGGGTTTCGACTCGCACGCTCGCACAAGCAGGCACGGCTTCTCGATAGTCCAGTACTCATTGTGAGGAAGCTGCCACGGTTTAGGGTTTAGGCTGTAGGGGGCAGGGCAGGACGACCAATGCCCAACAATGCCCACGAGAGCTTGGAACCATGACCCCTCTTCGTTCAATAAATTCGTGAGCATTGATCAACAACAAACGATCGTGATCGCCCGCGGGTTTCTATCTGTGCATGCGGAAGAGAGGTTTCATGCGTACACTCGGACATGCCCGGGCAAGGTCTGCAGACAATACAAGACAGCCAAAAAGCAAAAAAACACAAACTGACAGCTGCTCTGCTTTTGGCTGTTCTGAAATCCCATACAAAACTGTAGAGAATCCACTAGGTTTTAGAGGGGAAGAGACACCATCAGGTTCTATACGGGTTTGGGGATTGTTGGGTTCTACGAAAAGTTTTGGTGCGGATGTACAGGGGAGTACGACGCAAGTTGTATACATGCCTTAAAATTGGGTTTGGGATACATTATAAAATAATAGTTATCATAAGGAACCCCAAAACGGTATGGGTTATTATCCGGCCCCCTATTTTAATCCTGAGGTTCGATCTCGAAGTCTGTCTGCATGCCCGTGAAACAAACGAGAAACTGTTCAGGCGTCCACCCCAAGCCGCAAAACCCTAAGCCCTAAACCCTAAACCCTGAAACCATAAACCCAAAACCCAAAACCCTAAACCCCAAAACCCTAAACCCTGAACCCTGAAACCCTAAACCCGTTTGAACCCAGACTCTTCTCGGTCAACCCGAAGCCCTTAACCCTACACCGTGCCCCAGTTGGCAGACCAAAGATCCCCAGGCAAGACCATGAAAAGCCCCGAGCTCCGAAAGCCTATCGGCCTAAGCTCATTCTTCCAAACCCGTAACACCGAAACCCCAGAAAGTCCTAAAGTCCTAAACATTAAGACCGAAATCAGGCCTAAAGCCTAAACAGTAAAGGCATACAGCCAGCATATGCTCTCTCACACTCCACATGAACACGTAGAAACAAACGCACCTGTGTATGTGTGTGTAAATATATATATGTAACATCGTGTAGATTCTGATCAGCCTTAACTGCGCTAATCCCAAGTACGGCCTCCGTGCTTGTGCCCTCGACTGCCAAAGCCCCCCAGCGGCAGTGCCTGGCGCCAAGGGAAGACGACGGAGGGTTTGTGGTTCAGGATGTCGGGCGCCACAAGTTTCTCCGCATACATCCATGTCATTGACAGCCTGTTGCTTGGTATGAGCGCGCCCAGATGCGTATGTCTATGATTTCGTTGCACATATTCTGCTCGTATCTGTATAATATCTGTTTACATACACACACACACACACATATATATATATATATATATGTATACATTATGTACATGTACATGTGTACCCTTGCTCAAGCAAAGAGAAAGGAATACACAGGCTTGCGGGTGATGAGACCCTAAGCCCCAGAAACCCTACCCCCGCTCTCCCCCCCCCCGAAAAAAAAACAAAACCCTTTAAACCAAATGACCAAATGACTCAAATCTGCTTGGTCTCGTCTTTGCCCCTGGCTCTAAAACCCTAAACGCTAAACCCTAAACAGCACTACAAGGGTCTCCTTAGCAGGGTGGCCTGCTCCACCATGCAATACAGCTTGCGTCCAAGCCGTCCTCATTTAGGGGTTTAGGGTTTAGGGGTCTGAGGACTAGGCTCTGGTCAGCTGGCGCCAAGACAGTCGACTTGCCGTTTCTTCCAGCAAGACAAAAACCTGTTGTTCGAGGTCTTAAACCGGCTTGTTGCTATCCATCACGCGTGCGACGCGACTCCTGAAACATGGCGAAACCAAGGATTCTGCGGGCCAGCTTTGAAATCTCACATGCTCCTCCCGAGATGTGAAAAAGCTTGATGTGGCTCAAGCCTAATTGGGCTTGAAAGCCAATGAAGCATAAGCTTCCGCCGGGGGCCACAATGGAACACACGCTACCGAGAATGTGGAGACTGTAGCTTTCGCCAGGATTGCCAGATGCTAACGCACATGCCTTCCTTTTCAAGCTTGCGCACGACTGTCAGACTGTGAAGCTCGGACTCGGCCGGCTTGATCGGCCAGCAGAGTTCATAAAGTAGAAAAACAAATCAGGCGAACTCTACGATGCTCACTCAAAGGACAGTCGAGAAGTCAATCTCTCGCTTAAGCTAGATTTAGCCGTCGCTGAACCTCTAGCTTAGACTACCCATCAACAATCCTGATGTTACACCTGCTAAGAAAACCCTTTTTTTCAGCACGGACTGAGGTGCCGGCCAGCGCCCTAAACCCTTTTGCATCCAGGCCTATTGCGACTGCCGGGTACCCTGAAGAAAAAGGCCAGGCAAAGCTGCAGCACCATTGACTGCAACACTCACCCAATCAGGACCCTTTTCCCCTAAACCCCCCGAGATGCTCCAGATGGAAAAGCGTGGAAAGCGAAGTCATTAGTTACCGCGAGAGGGCCGGAGCTGCCTGAGTTTTCAAGGCAGTCCTGTCTTCTGCAAAACTGACAAATCTAGGGCAATGCCCTGGCTTAGGCTTCACCTCTAGAGAATCTTGAATGGCAGGATTCATCGTGGCTTCACCTCACGCACATCGCAGCGGACTGGTCCAAGTCAGCCCATCCCAAAGGCGCATCTCTGCCGGTAGAGGCTCTGGGCAAACTCCATGCATGTAGCCAGCACCCAGAAGCAAGTTCATCCTAGCTTGGCCCCTGAAAGCTATTGAACAAAAACACTCGCCTGCTGTTAAGTAAGATCCTCATCAACCCAATAAGGAAAATGCACAAATTTGCCAGGGGCCTACCGAGTATCAATACCAAGGAGAAGTAAGTTGCCGGAAGCATGAATGCCGCCACCTCCCAGAAGTCCAGGCTATCAGTGCCATGCAAAGAGAGCGGTGGCGAATTCCATGTGACCCCAACCTTAGAGGGCTGTTAGTTTGATGCATGCCCCTAAAGTCGATACTATAGCAAGGCCTTTTGCCAAGCATCATATTTGCCGTGTGGATCGCATAAAGGGATGCTTAACACTCTTCGAAGTTGAGCTTTAAGATCCCCACCTGGTCGATGCAGAGGATCTGCCGCGGATGCAGGATTGGCTGCGCAGCATAGTCTTCGTGAAGGGCTTCGCGCCAGAAACTGTGCGGTTTGATCCCAAAACTGATCGCCAAGTCCTCTGCGAGCTCGACGACCACAGATGCGATGATGAGGCATATGGACTCAAAGTTGAAAGCCGATGTGGCCCAATTGCCTGTGATGCAATCTGCCGTCAGAAACGCGACGATGGACACATATTGAGCATATCCTGACAAAAGCTTTGCCTCCTGATGTACCACCATACTCATACCAGGCAAAAGGAACCTGGACAGGCCGGGGCATAGGTAGGTCAGGAAACTGAAGCTGCTGTAGCTGCGCTCGAGCAGGTTCGTGGCCAGGTTGAGCGCAAGGTTGAAGCACCACCACCATCCACCATATTGCATGGTGACGGAAAGCAAGCTGATGAGGCGCGTGCTCTCGCAAAAGGAATGGGTTAGTGCAACAGGAATCATCAGGTGCCTCCTCTGATCGCCCAAAATAAAATGTGCTTCTCACCCGAACGGCAGCGAACATTGTAAACAAGGCCAGTGTATAGCGACGTCGTCATGCAGCTCACAGCTTTTTCGGTCAGATTCGTGGCAAGAGTAAGAAACAAGGCCGCGCCAACCGCCGAGGTATATTGCAGCCACAAGAACACCATGGAGATCATGTACAAGAACATCCAACTGCCAAATGTAAAGAGGAAATGGGCGCACGCCCACAACAAATGACTTCGCTTGTGAACTGGCTTCACCTCTTCGCTGCTGACCCCGCTGCTATCCGAATCTTTCTCCGAGGAAGACTCACAATGTGCCCAAAGAATGCACCAGGCGCCATGAATGACTGCTGACACCATGGTATATGACATTGTGCCTCCGATGAACACCATGAAGATTGGCCGGTACTCTTCTGATCCAGGCCACGAGGTGAAAGCGAAAACAGAAGATAGGATGCTCGCAAGCAAACCGCCCAAGATCTTGATTCCCAGCGGAAATTTGGTGCCTGCAAGGCAATTTGCCCAGTATACGTAGTAGGTGGCACACCCATACGGGAAAAGCCCTACGGTGAAAGTGCAGCGCCACCAGGGTAACAGCTCTGCCGTGTTGAGAGGTTCGTAGACACGCATGGCTGAGCAGTAAGTGGTCAAATGCACGAAGCTGTACAGGCAAGTCCACAAGCAAGTCCAGGTACTCATCAAGGTCAAGGGCTTCGCATCCTCGAAGCGCACACTCACATCTAGCTCACGTGCAACATGGATCGTGTCGCAAGCAGCTGACAAAACGCCAGCAAATGCATCTCCAGCAAAGACAACCGCACCAGACATAGACCAGAGCTGAGTCCCAGAAATCCCGTCGAGGACTTCAATGCCACAAGCGCGACCATCAAGGTCCTGAGTGATACCATAGACCTGGTCTTCATGCAAAGGCACTATGTCGGGTCCCTGCCTGCACACTGCAGATGGCCAGCATCGGTAAGCCGCCCTGAGCTCCTCGACTTCACGCACATTGGTGCGACTCATGCTTGGCGGCTGCCAAGAGAAGTTACGAAGATGGAAGAGGGCGCTACGAAGCTCAGACAAGGGGTGTCGGTTAAAAGCGGCCATGTCCGAGAGAATTGGCATCTGCTCGGTACGCATGCCCGGCCACCTGCAAGTCGCCTCTGGCGCAACAGCTCCGCGGACACCGGCCCTGTACCGACGATGATCAAATTCAGATCCATGAGGCTCACACTGAAGTTGGGGTCATAAGAGAACAGCTTGCCGACGGAGTCGCATGCCTCCTGAGCCTCGGGGCCCAAGATCTCAGATGGCCGGCGTGACAGGCTGGCCCAGGATCGCATCTTACCGACGGGACTCCCATCCGGACTCCGCGACTCTCCCGGGAGCCTTGTGGGGTTCTCTTCCGGCTGGACAGGCACGACAGCTGCCCAGCCATGCATGGGGCTTTTCGGTGGGCCAGGGACGGGGCATTGTGGCTCCATGGCAATGAAGGTCGGTTGGACCTTGGAATTGAAAACCTTTGGCCGGCTCTGCCGGCGCAGAAAACCAAAAAGTCAGTGCTTATGCCTTGGGCATCTCGAGCAAAACATCCTGCAGCTAAAATAGGTTTAGGCTTATAAGCATTGGCTTGGAGATGGAAGTTGGAGCTGATGCGAATGCGACAGCAGGAGGCGTTGTAAACGCAAGTACAGACATGTCAAGAAAGCAGCTTCATGGTGCAGCTACACAGGAAAGGCTCAAACTCTACACTGTAGACCCGTTGGAAACCCCACGATATCTCCATCATCTATGCAAAGCGCGAGCCTTTTCTTGCAGTCGGGTTCAAACCACCGCCCACATGCTAAACAAATGATCCGGGACAAGTTCGTGTACAATGGGACCACCCAGTGTGATGATGCGATGCCTGTTCGTGACTTTGAACCAGCGAGCCTGACGTCGTGCAGCGCGATGCGCTTGCAGTGAGATCACACACACACAAGATGGGTGAACGTGATTCACCCATGGGACAGGTCTCTTCAGCAAGAAGTCTCTGTACGTTGTCTTTCCAACATGCTGCAGGCCAAATTTAAACCTCGGCCTTAAGAGACTGAAGTCACCACCAGTCTGGACCCAAAAAGCGGGTAACTTGACCCGGGCCCGCTGGTTTTGGGATTGAGAGTCCGGTATTGCAAGTTCGACTCCTCACGCAGACGAGGGTCTATTTGTGCCGCACCGCCGGCCAGCGCCGCAAGAAGCAGCAACCGCGACAGAGACATCGCGGCACCTGCTTCGGTATGGCTTTGCTAGTTGACGGTTCAGCGATCCAGAATGAAGGGCTGATGTCGTACTCATAGGAACATGAGGAAGTCCGGAGCATGACCTATTCATTGCATATAAGAACACCATTATAGAACCTGTGCAGCCCCTGAAGCCCAAACGCCTTTCTAGTCATGGCCTTGTTACTACAGTTGTCCAATATAGATGCAGAGAGAGAGAGAGATACATATATATATATATATATGTATGTATATACATCTTTGTAATGCCCAATAAAATCATGAACGACGCGATTCAAAACTTAATCTAAAGCCTCGGCCGGCCAACTCATAAGCGTTCGTTTTGCCCCGCAGCCAGGGGCCTTTGCAGGTCTCTTCGGTCGCGAACTTCCGGGCGTGAGGTCGCGCCGCTCTGTAGGTGGGATGCTTGTGACATTTGCTTGCCAACCGAAGGCAGGTCTTCCCGTTTTCCCCACTTGTGTCTAGAAGAAAGCAAAGGAGAAGAGCTGTGCCCACCCCATCTCCCGCAGCCCACACCTGTGGAAATCACAGCCTCGCCAGCCGCCCTCCCCTCCCCCTGTCCATTTCTTTTCTGCACACTACTTCGACGAACTTTTTTTGACGATTGCACAACTTGTTGTGCAAGCTGTGACTATGTATTTGGTTTGCAAGCTTTTACTTAATTTCCCGTGACCCCTTGTTTAGAAGGCCTGAAGATCACGGTTCCTGAACAATGCGGCGAAGATACTTCAGCTCTGCATGTGTCCATCCATGGCTCATGGCTCGCAAATGGGGGAAGACTGATGTCTGTGTGGGCTTCCTTTGCGATAGCCGCCTCGCTGTTCAGGCTTCGAATGCGCTTGTCACAATGGCAACATGGTGCTCCTGGCTCATCTGCTACCGCCATGTACTATCAGGTGGCGTTCCGGCTTGAATCACCGTGACGCGATACGATGCGACAAATGCTGTTTATATCATGGCCACGGAAACGTCAGGCCAGAACCCGCTAGCCCGAAAACCCCCGAAACCCAAAATAAACTGAAACCCTCATAACCCTGTACCAACTCCTGCATCCCCATCCTGGCAAGAACAAACACCTTCTACGGTTTCTACACTCCCCAACCTGCAGAAGCTCGTAGCCAGGGGCAAGAAGCTCACCTGGTAAGAGAGGAACATGTAGTTTGAAAAACCTCCAGGCCCTAAACTCTAGAATCTCCACTACCTCCACGAAGCCATAAGCCCATAGTGTCGCGGGGTACCGGGTGCCCTGACAAAGGAATGTTGAGCTTCAGTGACATTCACGGAACCTTAACCTCCACCCTCAGACCCGAATCCCAAGCCCTTAAATCGTAAAACTCGTTTGAAATCCTACTAGGTTCGAAAGCTAACACATGCTTGAGACCCTCATGGCATGTGCAGAGCACTGCGCAGGATCTGGCTAACAGCATTGGAACCATATAAAACATTATAAAACCTATAAATCCCTATATCTCGCCCATGAAACCCTATACATCCTGATGGGTCTACATAATACCAGGAAGCCCTTCTGCGTCCATCTAAGCCCCCCCCCCCCACTCAATCTCCGCGAAGTCTCACCGTAAACCCTAAACCCGCTTTGCCTGGAAACCCTAAACCCGAACGCTGAATTGTGGACACCCTAAACCTTACCCATAGGCCCTAAAGTAGTTCCGTTTTGGGGTTACCTTATAGGATTCTATATATATATATATATGTATATATATATATATATATATGAACCCCAAAAAGGAACTACAACGGAGACTATGGGTAAACGATAAACCATGAAACACCCATAAAGGGTGAGAAGGCGCTCGTTTTCTTCGATCTAGCAACAGGAGCTCCGTTGCTTCCGCCGTGCTTCTCCCGAACCTCATGGGCTTCCCAGAGCACCGCAAAGGGCTTCAGTAGGGTTTAGGGGTTCTTGGGCTTTAGTGCTTATGAAGGTCTAGAGTTAGGGTCAAGGGTTCAGGGCTTTTTAGGATTTAGGGTTTGGGGTCTAGGGTTCAGGGAAGTTCAGGGCTCCAGCGCTTTCCATTCTAGGGCTCTTCGGGGCTTTTCAAAGTTTGAGCGTTTCATTGTTTGTGTTTTGTTTGTTCAATTCGGGCGCCCGCGTCGCAAGCCCAAGTAAGCACAGCAGGTTCATGGGTCGGGACGTGCGAAGGTTTCTGGAGACGCACGCTCGGATGCTCCAGGCGAGGCTTGATACGACGATCACACTAGTCAGGCTCCCTACGGGGTCCATGTACCCAAATAGTATATACTTTAGCCTTAATGTAGTCCCTATATGGGTACTTTAGGGCCAATGTCCTACTATTTGGGTACATGGACCCTTAGGGGCTGTCACATGGGCCACGACAAACGTCGTGCAGGCCAAGTATGAAAACATACGAACTTGCGCCAATGACAACGGTTCCCTCGCAGATCAATCAACCGCACCCACAGCAGTTGCCCAGACGGAGCCCAAGCAGACTGACCAGCAGGATTTCGTAACGTTCCAATGTAGCCACATGCAGTCTGTCATGTATGCAACCAGTAACTCACAGATATTCTTTCAAGCACGCAGACATATGCATCATCTCGTGATATGTCCATGCATGGAGCACAAACAGAGAGGACGTCAGTCACAGCTGCGTGCAGACCCAGACCTTGTGCCCACCGCTCGTGAGCACCAGTGCGCGCATGAAGTACCCACCAATGGAAGCTCAGCGGACAGAGCTGCTCTGCGTGCAATCGCCCGGGAGCACAGCGTGTCCAGGCCGTGGACAGATCCCTGTCCCATTACGCAGACAGGTTTGGGTGGGGGGGGGGGGGGGGNNGGAGGAGAGGAGAGGACTGAGCTTTCTGCAGACTTGCAAGCTTCGAAAGTTTCATGGCGCCCTGTGCTTCTATGTGGGAAAATCACGTTTGACAGTTACCTATAACTCTTTCAGCAAGCTTCCATGCAGTCCTGATGCTCATTAGCCTGGAAGAGGCGTTCTGAGCACTTTCGGTCGCCAGTCTACATGCTCAGCACAAACCAACATGGCCATCTTGTGCCGAAAAGGTCGATTGCATCGGCTAACCTGGCCACTCGAAGATGAGGGCGATGAGTTGTTGAGGGAACCGGGCATGTGGTTGAAGGGTCCGAGGTCCAAAGCGTCAAAGCGTCCATACTCAGAACCCGCTTTCGAACCGCCAAGACCCTAAACCAAACGCAAAAAGCAAAAGGTAAGCCTGCAGCCCTCCGTATCTACATTCTATATCACCCTTGTACAAGTCTAGCAGAGCCCTAATAATCCCTAATACATTCTTAAAGACCCCTTTCAAGCTCCAAGGCTCGCTTCTATAGCCAGCTGCAGCGAAGTCACGCGGAAGCTCCACACATGCGTTGGCTGAGGACTCCGCAGAAGAGGTCAGCGACGACTCCTTAACAAGGCCGGGAACAAGTAGAAAAGCCTTTTGGGGTTCTTCACGGTACATAGTTGTGTAATTAACATGAAATGCAACACCTCATTGCAGAATCATATAGGGCTGACAAGTCTGAGCTTAACAGAAAGCCGCATAAAGACATGCAATTCCCTGCTGCCTTCAATGCTGACGGCCTCACAGCTCTTGAAATCCACAGTCGCCGAAGCCCTCAATTGCGATGACAGCTCCTAACGAACCCGAAACGCTGCATCAACGGATATACCACAAGATGTGTGCATGTATTCAGGTACATATGCATGCAAGTCAGTTTGTATCCATATGTATATATATATATA